GATTTACTACTAGTACTATTAGTACTAGTAAGAGTACTACTACTACTACTACTACTACTACTACTACTACTACTACTACGACTACTACTACTAGAACTACTACTACTACTACTACTACTACTACTACGACTACTACTACTACTACTACTACTACTACTACTAAAACTACTACTACGACTACTACTACTACTTCTACTACTACTCCTACGGCAGGTTCGTGTCGTGCCGACCCCGGCGTTGGTTTTTGACGCCGCAGGGATCGTTCAACCTTGAACGATCGGCCATTTCCGCAACGTCCAATCGTTCAACATCGATCGATTCTGGGTCGCCGGCGGCGTTCAACCTTGAACGCCCGCGCTGGGGTCGCCGCTGGTCGACACGACGCGAACCTACCGTACTACTACTACTCCTACTCCTACTCTTACTTATACTCCTACTTCTCCTGCTACTACTACTACTGCTGCTACTACTACTCCTACTCCTCCTACTACTAGTACTACTACTACTACTATTACTTCTACTTCTACTTCTACTACTACTACTACTACTACTACTACTACTACTACTACTACTGATATAACTACTATTGATAATAATAAGACTGGCAATGCTAGCAGTAAGAATGTTAATACTATGGGTTCAAGAAAACAAATACAAATAGTAATGCTGGTGATAATAACAGTAGTAGTAAGACTCATAATGCTAATAAGAATCATCATCATCATCAGCAGCAGCAGCATCAGCATCATCATCATCATCATCAGCATCAGCATCATCATCATCAGCATCATCATCATACTGATAAGACTAACAATTAGTATTGCCCATCGTATTATTACTGCTACGATACTACTACAACATCGTCACCAGACTATCCCTTGACTAATCTCGGGTAGCACTCCTGCAGAAGGACAGGCCCGACTTCACCGCCAGGGGGGGGGGACCGACGCGTCGGCCAGCTGCTCCCGCAGCCGCTCCGCCCGCTCGCCGCCGACGACGCAGTCCGGCACGACCTCGCCGCGGCCACCCGCCGCCCGGCGGCGTGACGGGGTGCGGCGCGGGGCCGGGCCGTGCCGGGCGGCGATCGGCCCGAGGAGGAATCGGAGGGGATTCGGCCCGAGGGCCCGAGGGGATTCGGGATTCGGAGAATCGGGGATTCGGCCCGAGGGCCCGAGGGGATCGTGCCGATCGGCCCGAGGGGAGGGGATTCGGAGAATCGGAGAGCGGAGGCGGAAGATCGGAATCCGGGGCGGGAGGGGAGGAGGGAGGAGGGTGAGGGGCGAGGAGGGGGAGGGGGGGGGGGGGGGGGGGGGGGGGGAGGGGGGAGGGGGGGGAGGGGAGGGCGTGCGGGGTGTGCCCGAGAAGCGAGTCGTCGGCGGCGAGCGCACGCTGCTCAACACACGAGACCTCGGTCTTGTGCCAGATCCCGCTCGACACGAGTACCCTCCTCAGCGGTCAGAGGCCTCTGGACAGCAAAACGCTAGAAAGAGGGAGGACGTGGTGGGGGAGACGAGCGCGGTGGTGGAACGGATGGGGGAGGAAGGGGGGCGGGAAGGGGAGGGAGGGAGGTGGGGGGGGGAGGCAGAAAAGGGAGGGGAAACGAGGGCAAGATAATCAATCGGAAGCCGACGAACGACGACGAACGACAACGACGACGACGACGACGACGACGACAAACG